ATTGGGATTTTTATAAAAGACAATCATGTTATCTGGGAACAAAAACAGGTTTTAAAAGATTTTTTCCTATTTTTATTTTCTTTTATTATTCTCACATTAGCCACAACTTCCAATATGATGTTGCATTGGAGCAATGAGGGGTATCTTTGCCTTGTTCCTGATCTTAGAAGAAAAGTATTTAGTTTCTCACCAATAAGTATGATGTTTACTGTAAGTTTGTTGTAAATGTTCTTTACCAAGTTTAAGAAGTACCCCTCTATTCCTAGTTTGACAAAGATTTTTGTCATGATTGGTGTTGGATTTTGTCAAATGCTCATTCTGTTGATACAATCATATGATTTTTCTTCTTTAGCCTATTTATATAATTTAATAATGGCCTGCTGTACCTGGAATGAATCCCATTCAGTCATGTTGTATAATTCTATTTATTCATTGTTGGACTTGATTTGCTAATATTTTTTTGAGGATTTTTACATCTGTGTTCATGAGATATATTGGTCTATAATTTTTCTTTCTTGTGATGTATCTGTCTAGTTCTGGTATTCAGGCAGTGCTAGCTCCATAGAATGTGTTAGAAAGTGTTTCCTAGAAGGGGTGGTAGAGAATTAGTATTTCTTCCTTAAATACCTGGTAGAATTCACCAGTGATCAATTGGGCCTGGTGCTTTCTGTTTTGAACGGTTAATTATTGATTCAATTTTTAAAATAGATATTGGTCTACCGGTATTCAGATTTTCTATTTCTCCTTGTGTTAGTTTTGGCACATTGTTTCTCTCAAAGCATTGATTCATTTTATATAGGTTATCAAATATGTGGGCATAGAGCTGTTCATAATATTTAGTACCCTTTTTTATATTTTTTATTGATTTCAGAGAGGAAGGGAGAGGGAGAGAAAGATAGAAACATCAATGATGAGAGAGAATCATGGATCGGCTGCCTCCTGAACACCCCACTGGGGATCAAGCCCACCTGGGCATGTGCCCTGACCAGGAATTTAACTGTGACCTCCTGGTTTACTATAGGTCAATGCTCAACCACTGAGCCACGTCGGCCAGGCCAATATTTGTTATCCTTTTAGTGCCTATGAAACCAGTAGTGATGGCCCTTCTTTCATTTCTGATATTAGTAATTTGTCTCTTTTCTCTTTTTTCTTAGTCAGCCTGCCAGAAGCTTATTGATTTTATTGATCTTTTCAAAGAATCAGCTTTTAGTTTCTTTGATTTTCTTTATTGATTTCCTGTTTGTAATTTCATTCATTTCTGTTTTATTTTTTTCTCATTTCTTCTGTTACTTTTAATTTGTTTTATTTTCCTAGTTTCTTAAAGTGGAAGCTTAGATTACTGATTTCAGATCCTTGTAGTTTTCTAATATATGTATTCAGTACTATAAATTGTCCTCTAAGCACTATTTCTGCTGCATCTCACAAATTTTGATAAGTTGTATTTTCACTTCATTTAGTTAAAAATATTTAAAATTTTTAGTCTTGAGATGTTTTAGTTGACCCATTTGTTATTTAGAAGTGTATTGTTTAATTTCCAAGTTTGGGAGCTTTTCATCTATCCTTTTGCAACTAATTTCTAGGTTGTTTTTTTTCATTTATTTTTTTTTAAATATGTTTTTATTGATTTTAGAGTGAGAGGAAGGGAGAAGGAGAGAGGGAGAGAAAGGGAGAGAAACATCAATGCGAGAGTGAAACATTGATGGGTTGCTTCCTACACATCCCTCCTTCCACCCCCCCTCCCCCCCCGCCCACCCCCCCCCCCCCCACCCACCCCCACAGGAAATGGAGCCTGCAACCCAGAAGGTACCCTGTCTGGGAATGGAACCTGCCACCTTTTGGTTCATTGAACAATGCTCAACCAAATGAGCCATACCAGCCAGGGCTAATTTCTAGTCTAATTCCACTGGGACCTGAGAGCTTACTTGATATGATTTCTATTCTTTTATCTTTGTTAAGGTGTGTTTTTATGGCCCAGAAAGTGTTGTATCTTGGTAAATGTTCCATGTGAGCTTGAGAAGAATGTATATTCTGCTATTGTTGCATGAAGCATTCAATAAATGTCAGATCCAGATATTGATGGTGCTGCATTGTTTAATTATGGCCTTATTAATTTTCTGTCTGCTGAATCTGTCAATTACTGATGGAGGGGTTTGAAGTCTCCAACGATAATAGTGATTCCTCTAGCTGTCCTTGAAGTTCTGTCCATTTTTGCCTTACATATTTTGATGTTCTGTTGTTAGACAAATATACATTAGGGATTGTTATGCCTTCTTAGAAAATTGACCACTTTATTATCATGTAATATTCCTCATTATTGCTGATAATTTTCTTTGCTCTGAATTCAGCTTTGCCTGAAATTAATATAGTTGCTTAGCTTTCATTTGATTGGTGTTAAAGTGCTAAATCTTTCTCCATCCCTTTGCTTTTAACCAGTTTGCCTTTATATTTAAAGTGAGTTTTTGTCGACAACATATAGTTCGGTCTTATTTTTTTATCCACTCTGACAGTCTCTGTCTTTTAATTGGTATGTTTAGACCATTGACAGTTAAAGTGATTATTGATATAGTTTGATCTACCATTTCCTAACAGTATTGCCTAAGGGTATTTGTTGTCCTTGTTTCCTTCCTCCCTTCCTTCCTTCCTTCCTTCCTTCCTTCCTTCCTTCCTTCCTTCCTTCCTTCCTTCCTTCCTTTCTCTCTCTCTCTCTCTCTCTCTCTCTCTCTCTCTCTCTCTCTCTCTCTCCCTCCCTCCCTCCCTCCCTCCCTCCCTTCCTCCCTTCCTTCCTTCCTTCCTTCTTTCCTTCCTTTCTCCCCCCCCCCCTCTGGTTTTATTTGAGCATTTTATATGGTTATATTTTCTCTCCTCTCTTAGTATATCAATTATACTCCTTTTTAACTTTTCTTTGGTTGCCTTAGAGTTTGTAGTGAACCAATTTACAACTACCCTAAGTCCACTTTAAATAACACTGTTACACTAAATAAAATCTCTCATAAACTTAAGAAACAAAGTCATAGTAGAGAGAATGGAACTTCCTCAAATACACAGTCAACACCCCCCCCACCCACCCATTTGAGTCTGTAGATGGTAGAAGATAAAGAATTAACCTCAAATATTCCAAAGAGTATAACTGAGTTTCCCATAGTCTTTCATGGTTGAGAAGATAGAGACCTGTCAGCATCACATCTTGAGAAACTGGGAAAAATTAGAAGTGAACAAATTAGATATGGATTACTAAAACTACAATTCAGACTTGACCCAGTCCAATCTCTGATTGGATTGATTTGATCAGCCCCTCACCCTAGCTGATTAGAAGAGGAAGCTATGCACTTATGATTTGCCTACTTTAGTGGGAAAAAGATATATATATATATATTCATACATAAAAGTATAAATTTTATGAATATATAATTTGAGATCCTATTATAAAACATCTTTATTCATATTTGAAGTATGTCCATATATGTGCATATCCTATCTAATAAAGAGGTAATATGCAAATTGACCATCACTCCAACACAAGATGGCCGCCTCCCTGTGGACACAAGATGGCCAGCAGGGGAGGGCAGATGGGAGGGACCAAGCCTGCAGGGGAGGACAGTTGGGGGAACCCAGGCCTGCAGTGGAGGGCAGTTGGGGGGACCCAAGCCTGTAGGGAAGGGAAGTTGGAGGGGGACCCAGGCCTGCAGGGGAAGGCAGTTAGGAGCAACCAGGCTGGCAAGGGAGGGAAGTTAGGAGTGACTGGGCCAGCAGGGGAGGGCAGTTGGGGGTGACCAGGCCTACAGGGGATGACAGGGGTGACCAGGCCAGTGGGGGAGGGCAGTTGGGGGTGACCAGGCCTACAGGAGAGGATAGTTAGGGGTGACCAGGCCAGTGGGGGAGGGCAGTTGGGAGTGACCAGGCCTGCAGGGGAGAGAAGTTAGGGGTAACCAGGCTGGCAAGGGAGGGAAGTTAGGGGTGACTGGGCCAGCAAGAGAGGGCAGTTGGGGGCGACCAGGCCTACAGGGGAAGGCAGTTGGGGGCAACTAGGCCGGCAGGGGAGGGCAGTTAGGGGTGACCAGGTCAGCAGGGGAGGGCAGTTAGGGGCAATCAGGCCAGCAGGTGAGCAGTTAGGCATCGATCAGGCTGGCAGGTGAGTGGTTAGGGGGTGATCAGGCTTGCAGGCAGAAGTAGTTAGGGGCAATCAGGCAGACAGGCAGGCAAGCGGTTGGGAGCCAGCAGTCCTAGATTGTGAGAGGGATGTCCAACTGCCCGTTTAGGCCCAGGGATCGGGCCTAAACGGGCTGTTGGACATCCCTCTAGGCGTCCCAGATTGGAGAGGGTACAGGCTGGGCTGAGGGACACCCCCCGCAACCCCATGCACGAATTTTGTGCACCGGGCCTCTAGGTATGTATAATTTTTACTCAGAAGAAAATTATGTAAAACTAGTGTTTTTTAGGCTTTATGGACTAAACAATTTAGGATAGCATCTATTTTCTTATCTAATTTAATATTATTAGGAGACAGGTGAAACTGTCTTCTAATAGAAGACCAAATATTTTTTTCTCTATTTTCCATTTGGTCCAGGGCACTAAAATTTAGAAGACCAATTATATACAATTCTTAAGAAATTTAAACATAGAATTTTTTTTATTTAATAAAAGCTAGTTAGGAAAAATCATCTGATGTTAAACTCAGATTGATCAATCACAATTTTTTCTCTGAATTTACCTGAGGACTTATTTAAACTTCAGTTTTATGAATAACAAATAATTTTACTTTTATACTTATATATTGCATAGAAAGTAAGCATAGTTTCATATTATTTTTCTAGTTATCATGTAAGCTGTTTTACTCTAAGATAACTAAAAGAAATTAAAATATCTTCTAATTTAAAAATAATTGAGGTTTAGCCACTTGCCTTATTTTATAAAAATTCAATATTTAGCAACTATTTTAACATGATAGAGTGAGAAGTAGTGAATGGTATATACAGAATGTTAAAAAGTAATATTTTTTATAGGCAGAGCTTCTAGATGCTGCAGCTGGCATTCATGTACGGTTCAGATTTGGTGGTGTAAGTATGGATGAATTCTTATTTGTAGTTTTTTTTAAATATATTTTTATTGATTTCAGAGAGGAAGGAAGAGGGAGAGAGAGTTAGAAACATCAATGATGAGAGAGAACCACTGATCAGTTGCCTCCTGCACACCCCCACTGGGGGTCGAGCCCGCAACCCAGGCATGCGCTCCTGACCGGAATCGAACCTGGGACCCCTCAGTCCACAGGCCGATGCTCCATCCACTGAGACAAACTGGCCAGGGCCTTACTTGTACTTTCAGAGCACATTTATATTTAATTTTAAAGATGTAATTGTTTAAATGTAAACCATTTTGTTATTAGATTACAACGGTCCTTTGTACTTTTCCATCTACAGGCTAAATTTCCACCTGACATATACTATAAAATTTTTACTGAAAGACACATTGAAGATCTGTGTGCTAATAGCCCTAGAGATTACACAAAACTTTCAGCAAAATATGCATCTCATATTAGAAGTGATAATCTTCAGAAACAGGATTGTAGAGGCTGGTATCGTCGTATAGAGAACAATGGCTGGAGGCTTGTTTCTGATAGAGTAAGAAAAAAGAAATATTAATAATTTTGAATGTTTAATATTTATAAACCAATTTATCTTTTTAAAAAATAATTTTAAATTACATTTAAATAGTAAATCCTAGTAATTTAGTTGATAAAAATTGCTTAGTTAACTACTCTGGGGTTACTAATGATACTTCAAGGTATAAAAATATATCTCTTTTTTTCTTACATTTATTTCTACTTTTAGTAGTTTTGATTGAAGCCATCTTTAGGTACTCCCTGGTACTCAGCAGTTTACCATTTTGATATCAAAGCAAATGTGAGGATATTGACTCTGTATTATACGTGGACTAGAAATGGGAGTTATTTGAGAATATAACATTTTCTCTTACAGAGCTTATAATAGCAGAGACTGGTGGAAAATCATTTGAATTTTCATGGTTGGGAAACTTAACATGTATTCATATTAATTGACCACAGTGATTTTAAATATACATAAATCCTAATGCTATATGTGATTCAGGAACTTTTCTATAGACAGCCATGTTTAATCTCTTTTGTGGAAATAATTCCTACTTAAGGATATTTGTAAGGTTACATTTTATAGGTTAACACGATCTGGTTCTGTAGCTCTAGATGTCTGTTTATATTGCTTCAAATATCTTCATCAAATCTTCAGTCCTCAGATGATAGAATGTGGTATGTTGAATATACTAAATATGAAAAGTGAAAATGATCAAGGTATGCATTTATTCAACAAACTTGATTGCATACCAACCATGTGTCAGGCATTGTACCAAATGCTAAGGATATAATAGTAAATAAGAATAGTTGCTCTCCTCAAGCAGTTTCCCTTTTAGTTTGGGAGACATTTAGTAAACAGGATATTTCAATATAATGCAATAAATATGTGCTTTAATAGTGGCAAATATAGAATGTTGTGAGGAAGAGCAAACTCTCCTCATTATTTAATGTGTGTGTGGTGGACGAAGGGGGAAGAATCAGAAGTAGGAAAATAGACTACCAGTTAGGATACAGTGTCATACAAGGGAAACCATATACTCTCAGGACATAATGGTGAGACTTCTGTGTTCTTGGAACCTACCTATACTCCTTAAAGATTAGGGTCTTCAAAAGCCACCAGCACTAAGAATAGGTCAGGTCTGTTCTTGTGAGAAATTAAAACACTTAGAATATGTCTATTCATTCAACAAGTACTTATTAAGTACCGCAGTACACTAGCACCTGGTCAGTCTTTCTGTGGCATGTGCCTCTAGCGGTGGTTCTCAACCTTCCTAATGCCGCGGCCCTTTAATACAGTTCCTCATGTTGTGGTGACCCCCAATTTCATTGTTACAAATTGAACATAATTAAAGCATAGTGGTTAATCACAAAAACAATATGTAATTATATATGTGTTTTCCAATGGTCTTAGGCAACCCCTGTGCAAGGGTCGCGACCCACAGGTTGAGAACTGCTGCTCCCTGTGCTATTCACCCATCACTAAATTAGAACTACCTTTCAAGGGTTTATCTTACCCTCTATTTCTACCTTGGCATATTCGTATTGAGCACTCAGAATTTATTGTGTACAGTCAGATAACCTCACAATCAGTATTTCAACATTTTGTATATTCTTGTTTTATTTCTCAATAGTTTTGGTTGTCTACTGAACATGCAATTGGAGACAAAAAGGAAACCAAATTTCATTTCTCTAAACTGAAAAGAAGACAAGATATAGAAAAAAAGAGAAAAATTAGAAAAATAGAATGGATGAGGCAAATGTAAGTTGATGAAAGACTTACTAAAAAGTATATAGTATTTTAAGGTTTTATTTTTTTGCTATTATTACTAAAATAACTATGTTATATATTTATTTTTCAATATGATAGAAAGCTTTATTTCCATGGAATTATACCACTGGGTTTCCAAAGTCCCATTTCCCTACAGAGGAAGTGTAGCTGGGATTTCTTTCTCTCTTTTTTTTTTTTTTTTTTTAATGTTTTTTATTGATTTTTTTAGAGAGAAGGGAGAGGAAGAGATAAGAGACATCGATAGACTACCTCCTGCGCATTCCCCATGGGGATCGAGCCTGCAACCTGGGCTTGTGCCCCTACTGGAATCAAACTGGCCACCTCTTGGTGCATGGGATGATGCTCTACCAATTGAGCCACACCAGCTGGGTTGGGGTTTCAATAGAGCTAGAAGCAAAACCAGTGTCTAGAGTTTCCTTTCCACGTTGGAGCCAGTCCAATCCAGCATCAGGCTAGCTGCAGTCCATTAATGCGGGTTGGGGAGAGTGTCATTCATGCACCAGGCCTCTAGTTTAAAGTAGTAAAGGGATGCCCTGGCCAGTGTGGCTCTGTTGGTTGGAACATCATCCCTTACTCTGAAAAGTTCCCAGTCAGGACCCATACCTGGGTTGTGGGTTTGGTCCCAGTGTGGGAGGCAGCCGATTGATGTTTTTCTTTCTCTCCATTCCTCTCTAGAAAGTCAAATAAAAATAATAATAATTAAAAGGAAGAAGTATCTAATCTTAAGTGTCTGGACATATGAGAAATTAAAACATGGAGAAACTCATAAAAAATCCATTCACCCCCAGCCTTCCAGAAGTTTCTGATTTCTAAATGCATTTTTGTTGTGGCATGAGTATTAGTTAATAAATATGGGCCAGTTGGTACCATCATTTAATTATTCTTTCATTTAATCAATGTCTACTAGTTGCCTTTTATGTTCAGGGAAGAGATTATAGAATTGAAAGATTGCAAGTTCCATGAGGGAATTTCACTTTTGAACAGATTGCTTTACAAATGGTTGACAATAACTATCTATTAAATGAATAAGCCAATGAAGAACTCTAGAAAAATGATGAAATCATACTTTCTTAAATTTGTGCTCTAGCTAACCAACTTAAATCAAGAGGCATGTTTCTGCTTCTATAAAATGCATTAGCTTTCATAGATCATTATCCATTTAAAGTCTGACAAAGCAAAAACTTCCTGAGGTCATGGGTGTATCTTCTCACTGTCACATCTGTTGCCATCCAGGATTGTGTAAGTCTTCTTTTATTGAATACATACTATGTGCCAGCGGTTGTTGTAAATGTTTTATAGGGTTTTACACTTCCAATGTAGATCTTAAAATGAAAAACAATAAAAATGTTATATTCTAGTAATCTTAGTAAGGACAACTTCTGTCTATTCACTCAGCTCATGTTTGTGGGATGCATTAATTTATGTGCTCAGACTAATATAAGAGAACAGTACTTTATTTAAAAAAAAATATTTATTGTTGAGATTATTACAGATGTCCCTCTTTCCCCCCCCCCATTGTCCCCCTCCACCCAGTTCCTGACCCACCCCTGGCCTTCACCATCCTATTGTCTATGTCCACAGGTAGTGCATATATGCATATCAGATCTTTGTTTAATCTCTTCCTGCTCCCTTACCTCCCTTCCCTCTGAGAATCATCAGTCTGCTTCATTTCCAGGCCTCTGATTCTATTTTATTCACCAGTTTATTCTAATCATTAGATTTATTATTCGTTTATTTTGACATTTAGATTCAATTCTTGATAGGTATTTATTTGTTGCCATTTTGTTGTTCATATTTGTGACCTTTTTCTTCTTCCTCTTCTTAAAGAATATCCTTCAACATTTCATATAATACTGGTTTGGTGGTGATGAACTCCTTTAGCTTTTTCTTATCTGTGAAGCTCTTTATCTGATCTTCCTTTCTAAATTATAGCTTTGCTGGTAGAGTAATCTTGGTTGTAGGTCCTTGCAATTCATCACTTGAATACTTCTTGCCACTCCATTCTGGCCTGCATAGTTTCTGTTGAGAAATCAGCTGACAGTCGTATGGGCATTCCCTTATAGGAAACTAACTGCTTTTCTCTTGCTGCTTTTAAGATTTTCTCTCTTTAGCCCTTGGCATTTTAATTATTATGTGTCTTGGTGTGGTCCTCTTTGAGTTCCTCTTGTTTGGGGGTCTCTGTGCTTCCTGGACTTGTAAGTCTATTTCTTTCAACAGGTAGGGGAAGTTTTCTGTCATTATTTCTTCAAATAGGTTTTTAGTATCTTGCTCTTTCTCTTCTTCTGGCACCCCCATAATGCGAATGTTGGTATGCTTTAAGTTGTCCCATAGGCTCCTGACATTATCTTTATATGTTTTTATTCTTTTTTCTTTTTTTTTCATTTTTCTTTTTTTTTTATTTATTGCTTAAAGTATTACAAAGGGTATTACATATGTGTCCATTTTATCCCCCCGCCCTAGACAGTCCCCTAGCCTCCCCTATCCCCCAGTGTCTTATGTCCATTGGTTATGCTTCTATGCATGCATACAAGTCCTTTAGTTGATCTCTTACCCCCCTACCTCCTGCCCCCCAACCCTCCCCGGCCTTCCCGCTGCAGTTTGACAATCTGTTTCAGGCAGCTCTGCCTCTGTATCTGTTATTGTTCAAAAGTTTATAATGGTCTCTATTATCCATGAATGAGTGAGATCATGTGGTATTTTTCCTTCATTGACTGGCTTATTTCACTTAGCATAATGCTCTCCAGTTCCATCCATGACATTGCAAATGGTAAGAGTTCCTTCCTTTTTAGAGCAGCATAGTATTCCATCGTGTAGATGTACCACAGTTTTCTAATCCATTCATCTACTGATGGGCACTTGGGCTGTTTCCAGATCTTAGCTATGGTGAATTGTGCTGCTATGAACATAGGGGTGCATATATCCTTTCTGATTGGTGTTTCTGGTTTCTTTTTACTGTTCTGGTTGGGTGTTTTTTTCCCCCCTCACATTTCAAATCATTGCTTTGATTCTCAGAATCCACCACTCTGCTGTTGAATCTCTCTATCTTATTCTTTATTTCAGTCAGTGTATGCATAATTTCTGACTGGTTCTTTTCCATTTTTTTGGAGGTTTCTAGAAGATTCTTGAGTAACTTTATAACTGTGGTTTTGAACTCTATATTTGGTAGTTTGCTTTCTTCCATTTGTGACATGTTTCTTTGTCTCCACATTTTGGCTGCTTCCCTGTGTTTCTTTCTATGTATTGGGCAGAGCTGCTATGTCTCCTTGAGTTGGTAGAGTGCCTTGTGTAGTAGGTGCTCTATAGGAACCAGTGGCTGAGCCTCCCCAGTCACCTGAAAAGGGAGCTCCAGGCACATCCTTTTGTGTACTGTGTGCACAGTCTTATTGTAGTTGAGACTTGACTGCTATTGGTGTCACTGGGAGGAATGGACCTCCAGGACAATTGGCTATGAAGACCAGCTGTGACTACAGTGGGAGAGCTACTATGCAGAAGACAACCCCATGGAGCAGGACTTGCTTCAGTGGGGCTTTGGTGCTCACTGAGTCTGACCCTTGAGTATGTCTCTTATGGATGTGTAGAGTTATAATCTGATATGATCTGATGCTGACCACTGAGTACACTGACTCTTGGGTCTCCAGGAAGGTGAAAAGTCAGCCACTGCCTGGGGCCACCCAGCAGAAGCTACAGAGAGATATTCAGATTCCTCCTATTTGTATCGGGTTTGGAAGTGCCCAGATGAGGCCCAGCTATGAAGCAAGGCAGGCTGGTGCTGGTGCCAGGTCTTGGGCCTTTTATTGATAGGTTTGAGGCTCCCTGAACCAGCTGCAACTTGCTTGAGAGATTTTAGCCTGAGCAAGGACAGGCCATTCATATGCAAAAAGCCACTGCACACAGGTTGGGTGGAGTTGTAATTTGGATGAGGTGGGGTCTCAAGGAATCACCAGGACAGAGCAAACAGAAATGGCTGCCAGTCATCCCTGCAATCAGGGAGGTCCCAGCATAGAAACAATGATCCCTGTGAGCATCTCCGTCTGGAAGAAAGCCACCCCCAAGTTCCTGCCTCGATGCCAGAAAATCTAGTTCCTCCTCCTTTGTGTCTGTGTCCACCAGAGCCTTGCCCTAGTGCTGGAGCTCAGAGGAAGTGAGACCTTGTAAGTTCAGTTGGTGGTGCTGGTCTTTTAGGAGGAGCAGCTGGGTCTCCAGCAGCCTCTGTGTCACTGAGCTCCAATCCACACTGGTTTTTACAGCACATAATTCTTTTTCTTATTCTTTTTGTTTCTCAGAGGGCAGAGGTCCCGTCTCCGGTTTTCCCGCAACTTGGCGCTCCGTGCTCCAGTCATCTGCCTTGCTTTGCCGGGCTGCCTCCTCCCATCTGCCTCGGGCCTCCTCTCCATTGTCCCCTTTCTTCCACACCACCCAGCCAGCTTCTCCCCGGGACGCGCTGTCCTCCCTCCCCCCGTACCCGGGTGAGTCCCCTCAGGGTCTCCTCTCACGCCACCCCACAAACGGACCCCAACCCCCGCCCATCAGCTTCTCCCCCTTTGCCTTTTCTTCTCCCTTGAAGATTCCTCCATCTATCCCGACCCCGTCACTCCTCCCTCTTCTCATTCTCCTTCCTCTACATTGGCCGGCACCCTCCCACCAGCGCCTCTTCCCCCACTCACTCTACAGCACGTAATTCTTTTTTTTTTTTTTTTTTTTTTTAAAGGTTCACCATCGCTGCTCTATCCACTGAGCCAAACCGGTTTCGGCAGAGAATGATGATTTTTTTTTTTATTAAATATATATTTTATTGATTTTTTACAGAGAGGAAGGGAGAGAGATAGAGAGTTAGAAACATCGATGAGAGAGAAACATCGATCAGCTGCCTCCTGCACATCTCCTACTGGGGATGTGCCCGCAACCCAGGTACATGCCCTTGACCGGAATCGAACCTGGGACCTTTCAGTCCGCAGGCCGACGCTCTATCCACTGAGCCAAAACGGTTTCGGCTACAGCACGTAATTCTTATTGCCCATAGGTACTTCTTTTCCCAGTTCTGGGACCCTGGGCTGTAGTCTGGTGTGGAGCTGGGACCCCTTGCTCCTCCAGGCAGCCTCCACAAAGACGATCTCCCTCCCTACTAACAAAGTGGCACATGTGGGTGCTGGACCCTGTTCCGTGCCTCTGCACCTCTTACCAGTCTCAGTGTGCTTTCTTCTCTACTTCTCTAGGTGTAGGGATTATATTCAGTCAGCTTCCCAGAGGTTCTGGATGATGGTTGTTCTGTATTTTATTTGTAATTTTGATGTGGTTGTGGGAGGTGGCGAGTACAGGCATTTACCTATGCCACTATCTTCTGTTTTTGTTTTTTCAAGAGAACTGTACTTTAGAAGTATGGGCTTAAAATCAGATTTGGCTCTGATATATATATTACATACATATTATTGAACAATTTCTTAATTTCTCTAAGTCTCAATTTCCTCATGAATAAAATGGGAATAAAAATAGCTGTCTCAAATGGCTGTCTTTTTAAAGAGAATGAAACAAGATGATGTATCAGAAGTACCTGACACAAAAAAGATGTCGATAACTCTCTTCCCTTTTTTTATTCCTCTCTTTCTCTTTCCTTCCCTCTTTATCATTAGCAATGTGACCTTCTAAAAGTTACTAAACTCTTTTAGTATTTCCTTATCTATAAAACAAGTTGGCCAATTATTTGGCTCCAAGATCCTTTGATTCTATAATGATATGATTCAGTGATATAATAACTTAGTGTTTTTTTATATCATAAAAATCCAACTTACTGAGAGGTAATTTTGAAATGAAGCTTCTCTGGTTAGTGTGGTTACTTATGCTGCTTTGCTTTTTCCAAAAGATCCCATCACAGAACTTGGTTTAGAGGTATTTGAGTTAAGTAGGATAAAAAGATGGTTTATATTTAAATAGTATTATAACAATATATACTAAGTGCATCTATTAGTAATTATGTATTCCAAAGGATTTTTGTCTCTCTTCCTTTCCTCTACTTAGGTACTATAAAGGACACCTGGAGGCTAAGTCAACAAATCTAAAAACTCTAGGTTTAATTCACAGAGCATCAAAGGGGCTAATAAAATCTATTGAAGATGGCGGAATAGATTCTGTGATGGAATGGGAAGTGGATGAAGTGCTGAACTGGACAAATACACTGAACTTTGATGAGTAAATACATGTTACTATTCTTGGGGAACAAGGGCAGGCATCATATTTTTATTTCTAATATTTTCCACTCCCAAGTTGAATCTAGGGGGTCACAAACATAATCTCCTCTCCCCAAAATGAGTATGCATTACTTGTTTGAAAGAAAGAAGAAGAAATGAGGGTGAAAGGTATAAAAGGGATGATCTAAAAATAGAAAAAAGAAAAACTAGAAAGGTGTTCTTTACTGTCAGACTTTATTCTTAGGCCTTAGTCTAAATCTGCTTTATTTTTTACTTTGGGATTTAGAAACAAGGCTAAGAACATGCAATTAATAATATGAAGAATTTCCTTAGTGTATAGTCCTTGATCTTCCCAATGTGAAACATTAAAAAGTTATTCTTTTTCAGTGACATACTATGGCCCTTGGAAAACTAATTTTTTAGGAATTTTTTGGTGTGTGATGAAATTCAAAAATATTTAATATAACCATCAGGGAAATTCAAGTTAAAACCACAGTAAGATCCTACTTCAGACCCACTATGATAGCTATAATAAAAAAGATAGATAGTAACACATTGTCAAGGAGATGAAGGAATTAGAACCATTATAAACTGCCAGTGGAAATATATAATGGTGCAGCCATATTGGAAAATAATCTGGCAGTTTCTCATGGTTAAACTTGAACTTGCCATATAATTGAGCAATTGTAGTCCTCGGTATATATGCACAAGAGAAATAAACATGTTCATGTAAAACTTTTACATAAATGTTTATAGCGGCATTATTTACAATATAACCAAAAAGTAGAAACAACGCAAATATTCATCAACTGGTGAATGGGTAAATAAAATGTGGTATATCCATACAATGGAATATTATTCTACAATAAATAGAAATGCTGATATATGCCACAGTATTGATAAACCTGATAAGTGAAAGAAGCCAGTCATAAAGGACCACATATTATATGATTCCATCTATATGAAATGTGCAGAGTAGGCAAATCCATAGAGATGGAAAGTAGATTAGTGGTTGCCTAGGGCTGAGACTTATGGGGATTGGGAGGTGATAGCTACGAGGTACATTTTCTTTTTGGAAAATGAAAATGTTCTGAAATTGACAGAGTACACTAAAAGCCATTGGGTTATACACTTTAAATGGGTGAGTTTTATGGCATGTGGATTATATCTCAAAAAGATTTCAATATATTGAATATTTACTCAGCTACAGTAATGAATGTGAATATTGCACAGATGAAAGGCAGAAAAAATAAAATGAAGATGCTGTGTGTGAAGAAACATAAGAAAAAGGAAGAGAGAAAAGAAAATAGGATAGAAAAAAATCAACATGTCATTCTATCTAATAAAGAGGGAATATGCTATTTGACCCTCACACCATCCCAAAGGTGGCAGTGCCCACAGCCAATAAGGAGGAAATATGCTAATACACTGTCCTGCCCTCAAAGATGGCAGCATCCATAGCCAATAAGGAGAGAATATGCTCATTGACTGCCACGCCCTCAAATATGGTGGTGCCCACAGTCACAAGATGGTGGTGCCCAGTCCCCTCAGACCCGCCATGTGCCTGCCTCCAGAGTCCCCCAGTCCCCTTTGATTCTATAATGATATGATTCAGTGATATTATAACTGCCCAGAGCCGGCCAGAGGCACAGGCAAGCCTTGGATGGTGGCTGCCCAGCCGATGCCCGAGGTGCAGGCAAGCCTCGGCTGTTGGCTGCCCAGCCACCCAGGGCTGGCCTGAGGCGCAGGAAAGCCTGGATGGCAGCTGCTCAGCCACTCAGAGCCAACCAAGGCTCAGGTAACCAGGGCCAACTGAGGCCTGCGCTGCCGGCACTGGCAGCAGCAGAGGTGTGATGAGGCGTCACCTTCCCCTGATCGCTGGGTCACTTCCCACCCCTGAGGGCTCCCGGACTGTGAGAGGGGGCAGGCCGGGCTGAGGGACTCCCTCTCCAGTGCATGAATTTTCATGCACCGGGGCCTCTAGTATAACAATAAAACAGCCAGAAGAGAATTGAACAAGAATCAGAGAAGAGCATAATGAAAAAAGGAAAGATGACAAAGGAAAAGAAAGAATAAGAAAATAGGAAAAAAACAATAAGAAAGAAGATAAGGATATATTAGAAAATATAAAGGGAAAGATAAGAAGAAATGAAGAACTAATTATTCATAGTAGATAGATGCTCTAAGATATCTTGTACTAATAGTAAAAAGAGATTGTTGTGATTCAGTATTTTGTCCAAGCCATAATATTGGGATTCCCTATCGACAGCACGTCTGTGATTTTTGGGACACTGAATAAACACAGACGATAATAATGATGCAAGAAATGACATCCAAAGAAAGGAACTGTAATGCTGTACTTTTAAAACTTTTTTAAATATATTTTTTATTGATTTCAGAGAGAAAGAGAGAGGGGGAGAGAGAGAGAGAAACATCAATGATGAGAGAATTACTAATAGGCTGCTTTCCACATTCCCCACACTGTGGATCTAGCTTGCAACCTGGGCATTTGTGCTGACTGGGAATCAAACCATGACCTCCTGGCTCACAGATCAACACTCAATCTCCAAGCAATGCAGGCTAGCATTTTTAAAAAACGTTTTTTGTATAAAATTTTTGTATAAACTTTTTAAAAAATCAAAAGTATATACATTTAATATTATTTTGTATTAGTTTCAGGTGTACAGCATAGTGGTTAGACAATCACATACTTTATGTAATGCTATACTTGTACTTTTTTCCCCCTAAGGGTAAAAGTTGCTGGGTAGAGAATGGGGTGGCGGAGGGAGGAAAGAGTGGTAGGTCAGGTTCATTTTTAATGAGCTTCTGAGAGCAGGATAGAGAATTGTCTCAAGTAAGCTTTTGAAATCCTGATTAGCCTTTCCCTTATATTGTTGGCTAATTCAAGTGAAGGCCAGAGAGCTTTAGTGAAAGATTTCCCCAAAATCTACCCCAATATCCTATATTCCATCACTATCTACACTAATAAAAGAGAAACATGCAAATTTTTTTCAGTGTCTTAATTATTTATTGTGTCATCTATTTTTAATTTTTTTTAATTAAATCTTTATTGTTCAGATTATTACAGTTGTTCCTCTTTTTTCCCCCCCATAGCTCCCCTCCCCCTGGTTTCCACCCCCCCCCCTCTGCCCTCACCCCCCCCCCTGTCCTCATCCATAGGTGCACAATTTTTGTTCAGTCTCTTCCCACATCCCCCACACCCCTTCTCCCCCCCCCCCCCCCAAGAATAGTCAGTCCACTCCCTTTCTATGCCCCGGATTCTATTATAATCACCAGTTTATTCTGTTCATCAGATTATTTATTCACTTGATTTTTAGATTTACTTGTTGATAGATGTGCATTTGTTGTTCATAGTTTGTATCTTTACCTTTTTCTTCTTCCTCTTCTTAAAGGATACCTTTCAGCATTTCATATAATACTGGTTTAGTGGTGATGAACTCCTTTAGCTTTTCCTTATCTGTGAAGCTCTTTATATGACCTTCAATTCTGAATGATAGCTTTGCTGGATAAAGTAATCTTGGTTGTAGGTTCTTGCTATTCATCACTTTGAATATTTCTTGCCACTCCCTTCTGGCCTGCAAAGTTTCTGTTGAGAAATCAGCTGACAGTCGTATGGATACTCCCTTGTAGGTAACTGACTGTCTTTCTCTTGCTGCTTTTAAGATTCTCTCTTTGTCTTTTGCTCTTGGCATTTTAGTTATGATGTGTCTTGGTGTGGTCCTCTTTGGATTCCTTTTGTTTGGAGTTCTCTGCGCTTCCTGGACTTGTAAGTCTACTTCTTTCACCAGGTAGGGCAAGTTTTCTGTCATTATTTCTTCAAATAAGTTTTCAAATTCTTGCTCTCTCTCTTCTTCTGGCAACCCTATAATTTGGATGTTGGTACGCTTGAAGCTGTCCCAGAGGCTCCTTACACTATCTTCGTATTTTTGGATTCTTTTTTCATTTTGCTTTTCCGGTTGGGTGTTTCTTGCTTCTTTGTATTTCAAATCTTTGACTTGATTCTTGCGATCCTCTAGTCTGCTGTTGGGACTCTGCATAATATCCTTTATTTCAGTCAGTGTATGCTTAATTTCTAATTGGTCCTTTTTCATAACCTTGAGGGTCTCACTAGATTTCTTGAGGGTCTCACTACATTTATCAGCAGTCTCACCAGACTTTTTGAGGGTCTAAATTTATTGGCGGTTTCTAGAAAGTTCTTGAAAAACCTTAAAAGTGTGGTTTTGAACTCTATATCCAGTAGTTTGCTTTCCTCCATTTCTGTCTTTTGTGTCCTGTTTCTTTGTCTCCGCACTTTTTATGCTTCCCTGTGTTGATAGAGTGGCTTTCTGTGCTAGGTGTCCTATAGGGTCCAGTGGCTCAGCCTCCCCAATTACCTGAGGTGGACACTCTTGGTGAACCCCCTTGTGGGCTTTGTACACAGTCTTGTTGTAGTTAAGCCTTGATTGTTGAAGGTAACACTGGGAGGGATTGACCTCCAGGCCAATTGGCTGTGAGAATCAGCTGTGTCTGCAGTGGGAGAACTTCTGTGCTGGAAACTCCAGGGCAAGACTTGCTTCAGTGGGGCTTTGGTGCTCACTGAGTCTGCCCTCTGAGTGTGTCCTTTATGGATCGGAGGAGCTGCAATCTGGATGGTCCTAATTTGACCACCGGGCACACTGGCTCCTGGATCTAAGGAGGTGCTAATCTAGCCTCTTCCTGAGGCTACCCAGCAGGAGCTCAGCTGTGAAGCAATGCTAGTTGCCCTGGGGCCTTGGGCCAGCTGCAGTTTGTTAGGTAATTTTCAGATTGCAAAGGGCCAGGCCTTTCATATGCAAAAGCCGGCACACAGCTTGGGTGGGGCGGGGGTCCCAGGGGATCAACATGGCGGAGCAAGCAGCTATGGCTACCCTAAGAGGCCCCGTTTCTCAGTGTCCTGGCAATCACTGCAAGCACCTCTGAGAGAAAGCTGCCCTTTAGTTCCGACCGATGCCAGACAGTCCAGTTTCTCCCTTATGAGTCTGGGTCCCCAGAGACTCGCCCAGAACTGGAGCTCAGAGCTTGAGACTCCCTCCTGATTGAAAAAGACAGCCGTGTCCTCAGCCTCCAGTCCTCTCCGCATGGGCCTCTGTACCTCTGAATTTTACTTCCGTACTGCACCTCTTCTGAGTCTCGGTATGCTTTTCTCTTTCCTTCTAGTTGTAGAATTTCCACGCAGCCAGCCTCCCTGTGGTTCTGGATGATGTTCGTTTTGTCTTTTTGTTGTATTTTTGAAGTGGTTGTGTGAGGCAGCAATTTCAGGTGTTTACCTATGCTGCCATCCTGGTTCCTCCAAAACATGCAAATTAACCATCACTCCATCACTCTGCTACACCCACAAGCCATGCCCACCAGCCAATCAGGAGTGAGTATGCAAATTAACCAGACTAAGATGACAGCGGCCACAAAGCTGGAGTGAGCAGGAGGCTTGGGTTGCCCCTGGCGATGGAGGAAGCCAAGCTTCCCGCCTGCCCTGGCCGGCCCTGGGCTCTTCTCAAGGCTACAAAGTTTCAATTATAGAAGATAAATAAATCACAGATACCTGCTTCCAGCCTGCCCTTGCCTCTGCTCAAGGAGGCGCTGAAAAAAAAAGAATGAAAGGAGAGGCTGGGATCTTGTGTTGCCAGGGGGTGTGGCCAGCCTGAAAATGGCCCACAGCCCCTCACTCAGGCTGGCCAGGCATCTCAGTGGGGACCCCCACCCTGAAGGGAGTGTGGCCAGTCTGAAAATGGCCCTCAGCCCCTCACTCAGGCTGGCCAGGCACCCCAGGAGGACCCCCACCCTGATCCAGGACACCCTTCAGGGCAAACCAGCCAGCCCCCACCTGTGCACCAAGCCTCTATCTATACTAATAAAAGGGTAATATGCAAATTGACCCTAACAGCAGAACAACTGGGAATCACTGGTCACTATGACACACACTGACCTCCAGGGGGGCAGACGCTCAATGCAGGAGCTGGCCCCTGGTGGTCATTGTGCTCCCACAGGGGGAGCTCTGCTCAGCCACAAGCCAGGCTGATGGCTGTCAGTACAGCGGTGGTGGCAGAAGCCTCTCCCGCCTCAGCAGCATTAAGGATGTCCGACTGCAGCTTAGGCCTGCTCCTCGCTGGCAAGTGGACATCCCCTGAGGGCTCCCGGGCTGCCAGAGGGATGTCTGACTGCCAGCTTAGGCCCAATCCCCCGGGGAGTGGTCCTAAGCCAGCAGGTGGACATCCCCCAAGGGGTCCCAGACTGCGAGAGGGCACAGGCCGGGCTGAGGGACTCCCCCGAGTGCACAGATTTTTGTGCATCCAGCCTCAAGTTGGAATATAATTAGAATGATGCAATTGAGTGTGAGGGGAGGAAATAAACAGGCATCTCAGCCACCTGCCATACCCTTCTCTGGTAGGGGATTACATTTCTAATGGTATCTTTGTGGAAGAAAGGACAAAAACATTAAACCAGTAAGACTTGAAGTGGTTTTTTGTATCATATACTCTATGTTGGATGAGATGAATACACCTAGCTATGACATGGAAAGACTAACAGAAAATTTCTTTCTTTTTAATGCAGATACTTCACGCTTCCAAATTATGTACAATTTCTAGCAGTTTATTCTCTCACTTAGGCACAATCATAATTTGGAACCAACTTTGAATTCTTAGGAAGCAAGTTTTTCTACTGAGCCCTGGACAACAAATATTTCAAATAGAATCCAGTGTGATAATTTGGGATTATTTCAGTAGCCTTACTAATCCCAAGCTGCTGATTATGAGGCAAGACCAAACTTTGCAGAGATCTTCCCCCAGCCGACTGCAGACATTAGGTATAAGCCAGCACCTTCTTCCCAGTGCATTTATGGTCTCCACACTCTACTTTCCCGTTAGATCTTTGCAGTCATCTAGATGTTGGTAACTCACCTTGTTTGATGAGAATTTCAGAGTCTGACATTTTTCTTCAGGAGAATTGGTAGCCACTAATTTCTTGGAGAGTATCCTTCAAAATCTGTGGGCAGTTTTCACTTGTCAGACCATTAGATTGACATAAATGTGTTAAACACTGATATTGAGTGATACAAACCAGGTTCTTCCCCAGCAACTTTTGTGCTAGCCCCTTGTCATGACGGATGGCCATGTGCATCTGCAGATGCGCATTGCAACAATATCAACTGAGCACAATATTATAATTTGGAAGAATGAATAGAGACAGCTTCACTGTTGGACTCACAGACACTGATGAGTATTGTTGTAAATTCTGCAGTATCTAGAGATGTGTTGCTGTAGGCACTTAGAATGTGACCCCCCACGTCACCATCACTGAGCTGCCCGCAATGCTGCAAGGTGGCTAATGTTCTTGTTGGATTTTCAGGGGCATATACTCTATCTACCAGATGGTCCACTTTCAGGATCTTCATAATTTTCAAATTGCATATGAATTTTGAAATAACCTAACTAATCAGCAGTTGGGGTATCTTAAATAATTTCCTGATGATCAATTATTAACTGTGTTGGCGAGGGATCTTTGCCTATGTGTGTGGGGGTAGTTTCTATATCTGAAGCTGTTCCTTCAATTTCTAGGATATGTAGTTACATGGCCTCTCTGGCTAGGGACTTCCAGACCACTGAAATGTTAACTTTGCATCCCTGAGGAATTCATTATAGATTCTGCATGTAGAATAGTAATTATTCTATAATTACTATCTTAAAAATGTCCTAGAGAGAAAGACAAATTAGCGCTATGATATGAGCAGTATGGTAATGCTATCACCAGACTGTTGCTTCTATTTATAAAACTTAGATTTTTTTTTTATCACTGTTTTTATTAGTTACATATGTTCCTTATGAGAAGTTCTTTTTAAATAATTGTCCTAATATCCGGTAAAGCGAGGCCAGTGATCAGCCTTAGTTAAACAGGGCATATGTTTGTAACCAAGACTGTCAGGTGTCCTTGAAGGTGGAATGAAAACCTCTCGGTGTGTAAATCCAAGGAAGCGGGTGATAGACACCCAGCTCTTCATAGTGATCCTAAACAGTCGCTGAAAGTCTGCCTAAATGTAAGGTCCATCCGGATTGACCTGTCTGCCAAGAGGTCCTGGGAAGAGGCTCTTGCACTTTTTTATGTAACAGTGACCCAGCAATATCCCATTTAAGGCCATAGAATAAAGTTCTTGGAGCAAGAAGAGCTGGAGTAACAAAAGGAGCTGACTTTAGACACAGTACTTAAGATATTTAAATGTTCTTGGATAACATATACCTTCCTAAAACAAAAACACTTCAGGAACACAAAGCTAGTAAGAGTAATTCAGTGGAATAAATGAATACTTGGAATATCATTTTTTTACACGACAATTCCAATCCTCCTCATACATTCTCTGCCAGGCCCCTTTCAGTACCTCCTGTGACCAGTTTCTTACCTGATTTCCGGGGTGCAGTTGGAAGAAAGGAGACTTGGGAAAGGGGACACAGAGCCTAAAATGAAGTGGAACAGTTGCAGGAAACCTGCCTTTCAGAGTATTTCCTCATGAGACCTTGCCCTTCCCTATTTGACCTCTTCTCAGGCTACCCTGGTTTCCCTATTTCAGTCTATCTAGGGAACTGAGGTGGCAGCTGCATGTGCCCTATTTGAATGCGACCTCTCATGTTTACAGCACACTGCAAAGACTGCACATTGCTCTACTAACATCGTAAAGCACATGCACTAAATTTCTGTTAACATGTCAGAGACAGTAGGTCTGGCAATCCAGAACCAAGGACAAAGATTTTCTCTTTTTCCCTCCCAGAGAATTTTCTGTCCATACTTTTTAGAAGTTAACTAACATCTTAGTAGGTATTCAAATGAAGACATGATCTCAAAGGAATGGAACAGGATAAGATGAGGAGAGGTGTGCTGAGGGACCCAGGGCACTAGGATGGTACATGGTGGGTACCATTTTTAAACTTCCTGCAACTTCCTGTCCTAGAGGTTGTCTTGGGTGCATGAGAGCTACTTGGAGGTGGGAAAGTCATGAGGATGAAACATTTGGACAAGTGAGTTTGTTGTCATTGCAATTTCACAAAGGAAGTGGAATTGTAGAAGTAGCCTAAGCGTGAACTGATAAGTCAATTATTTCCTAGTAAACCAATTTAATTTAATGTCTATATAATGTGCTTAGGTATGTTGCCAACTGGAAGGAAATTGCTACAAGCGACTCTTCAGTTAACTTCAAAAGTAGGTGATTTTTAGCAATACTTTATGGGAAGTTCTTCTGAACAAAAATGATACATTCCACATATGTACACATTTCTTAGCACCTAACATTTCCACACCCTGCACAGTATATAGACATAAGTAAATTTGCCAAGTCATTATTATCTTATAGTAAGACTGTCAATTGGAAATAGAAGGATTTTTTATTTTATATAGGGTTAAATTTTTTTCCAGTTTGAAACCATACTTCATTTTCAATGTAGCTAGAAATATCCAATAGCTATTTTTAAGCAGAAAAGAGCTCCTTTACTTTTCCTTCTTATAGCATTATTAGCACAAAAAATAACATTTCTGTTTATAAATGATACTGAGTGTCTATAAAAATGAATGTATTTTATTTGTGGAAATTAAAAATTTTAAAGCACAGAATACATTTTTAGAAAACCAATTTTACTACTTTTACCCATTTATGGTTAACAGTTGGAATGTTAGAATGTACTTAGGTAATGTATAGTTAAGTAAATCAAATCAAATAAGGAATTCAAAAGCAACTGATCTTCTTGAGTTATTAATGAATCCTTTTCTAAAGTTGCATACTTCATGGTTTCAATTATTAAATAAAAATTATTTAATGAGCAAACTTCACTTGACTAAATAAATGCCTCAAAATATAAGAAGTAATGTTTAGGTTCTATGCCACTCTTGTCCCTCAGTGGTCCATAACACAGAGCAGTTGAAGAAGCACAGCATCATAACCCAGAAATATCAACACCTAACATAGCCAAGTCTAATCATGGTTGTTGTATAGTCTGAGCTTAGGAGTTCTCTCCTGCTGTCATCTGTGGGAGGCGGTAACACGGAGAAGTTACAATTGTGGAGAGCTGGTTCAGAGTGCCTGATGTTGATTTTTGGCTCTACTGCTTACTGGCTGTGTGATCTTGGGCAAGTTACTAGTTCAGTTTCCTCTTCTGTAAAATTAGATTAACAATAGTACAAGGTTATAGGTAGCAATGACGTACTAAGGAAAAACGTGTGAAGAGCTTAGACTAGTTCGGTGATGGCGAACCTATGACACGCGTGTCAGAGGTGACACGCGAACTCATTTTTTTGGTTGATTTTTCTTTGTTAAATGGCATTTAAATATATAAAATAAATATCAAAAATATAAGTATTTTACTATGGTTGCAAATATCAAAAAATTTCTATATGTGACACGGCACCAGAGTTAAGTTAGGGTTTTTCAAAATGCTGACACGCCGAGCTCAAAAGGTTCGTCATCACTGGACTAGTTCCTGGCAGGGAATTCATACTCTATAATTAGCCCTAATCTAGCCACTGTGTCCAGCTCATTGCTACCACCACACCACGGTCCAGGTTGCTATCATCCCTCTGCAAGCTTGTGTGACAGCCTCCAAACCCATTACCCCTTTCCCCCCTCCCCCCGCCCCAGGCCATTCCCCACACAACAGACAGTGATCTTTCACAATGTAAACCAACGCAATTAGAACACAGGATCCCTTCTTTAGCAATCCCCATGTGGGAGTGCTCACTTACAGTGTTTTATAGTATTAACTCATTTGATCTTCAGCCCAATGAGTTCTATCATCTGCATTTTACAGATGAGCAAGCAAAGAGATGGGTTACTTGCTCAGGGTCTCACAGTAAGAACCTGTGAGGGCTGCCAGCTCCAGAACCCATGTTCTTAACCAGGACCACTTCTGCTGCCTCTCAGTTTTCACTGCGCTTGGAACCAAGTCCCGACTTTAGAATGGCTCTGGCTCTGGCTCTGGCTTAGCTTTCCACTCTAATCATGTCCCACTTGCCCCCTCACTCACAGCCTCTTGCCTGTTCCTCAAACATTCTGTGGTTTCCACTTGGGGGTTTAATGGAGTTGGTGGTCTTCTACAGAACAGTTTTAGGGAACTATCTTCACTAAGGGCAGGGAGTTGTCCTGTTTGCTACTGAATCCCCAATGTGTGTAGCACACAGTAAGTTTTCAATGACAGATCAAAGAACAGAAAGGAATGACAAGTAAAAAAAGTGGGAGCATAGAATATAAAATATTGAGTTAAAAGATTACAGCCCTAGCCGCTTTGGCTCAGTGGATAGAGCATTGGCCTGCAGACTGAAGGGTCCCAGGTTTGATTCCGGTCAAGGGCACATGCCCAGGTTGCCGGCTCAATCCCCAGTAGGAGGCAGCCAATTAATGATTCCTTCTCATCATTGATGTTTCTATCTCTCCCCCTTTCTCTCCCTCTAAAATATATTTTAAAAAGAGAGAGCGATTACAGGCATACCTTGGAGATATGGCAGGCTCAGTTCCACACCATCTCAATAATGCAATAAAGTGAATCATAATCTTTTTGCTTGTGGAGGGTCTTGCTTTCCATTTGTTAAAAAAAAAAAAGCGATATCTGTGAAGCATAATAAAGTGAAGTGCCACGAAACGAGGTCTGCCTGTACCGATGGCAGACAGATGGAAAGATACAGTATGATGATTGGAAGGAGCACAGGAGAAAGTGAAATTTATTTTAAGTGGGAGAGGTCTGCATTTATAGCTGAAGTCAGTAGAAGGTGAGACATTGAAGGTGCTGGCACTGGAGAAGAGGAGAGAATATGTGCCACTTCTTCAACAGCACAGGGTAATCTAATCCAGATATTTGGAAACTTTAGCTCTAGAGAGAGAAAAGGCTTCTATTCATTTATGAATAAAAAACTGTTAGCTAGTAGTGAATTATTGGGCACTAACTAAACGCCACGCGGAATGCTAAGTCCTTTACATGCACATTACATTAATTCTCACAAAAATGATTAGGTATGCACTGTTGTTAGCTCCATTTTATAGATGAGGACACTGGAAATTAGGTTAAATAACTTGCCACAAATTGCACAGCTAATCCTATATAATAAAAGCCTAATATGCAAATTGTCCCCTTGACCAAGAGTTCAATCAATTTGACCAGGGGGCGGGGCTGTCCAGGCAAACCGCGGGAAGAGAGGCCCTGGCCCTCGACAGTGGCATGCAGTCACGGGGAGGGAGGTCCCAGCCGGCAGCCAGCAGCTGTTAGGGACCCTATCTGTGAACAGATTTCATGCACTGGGCCTCTAGTTAGTAATAAATCAAACTCAAACCCAAGTCCTTCAGAGCCTTTTGTAGAGATAAACAATGAAATATAGTAGGAAACAGTAGGATGAACTAAAAAACTTGGGACATTTATGGCTTCAGTTAAGTAGGATATAAAGATAGGTGCTCTAACAGTGGTGAAAGGAATGTGGAATAGACCTTAGCCTGGTATATTGAATGAGTATATCTTATCGCATCAGGCATCTTTCTAAACATTTGTCATTCCTCTCTCTCTAGGTTTCAGGTTTCAACAAGAACAGAAATATATATATGACTATGCAGCGATATCAGAGGGCATGGGAACATCAAATAATACTTCATATGGAAATACTTAAGAAGAACCAAATTTTACTAGCCTAACACCTAATTCCCCTTATGGAACATAAATATAAAGTACTCTTTTCTTTTTTGAGCTATAGCCCTTCAAACCCTTATTACATTCGCTATACTTAAGAGATAAGTTATTCTGACTAGAATGACATATATTCTTGGCACAGAATCTACCCAATTAAGGAAGATTAAAAAGAAATAGAACATTGGACTAGATACAGTGGTCATAGAAAATACAGAAATTATTTCTGGTATTCTGAAAACTGTAATATTCTGACCATCACACTTAAATAAATATGCTTAGGTGCGAAAATCTTCAGCTTGTTTTTCTTCCTTTTTGAAGTATCTTCTACTTGAGCAATCACATCAGGCAGAATTCTTTTCACATTAAAAAAAAGGGGGGGGAGTGGGGGACAGTATAGCACATTCTCTTTTTATTAGGAAAGCAATAGGCTTACTAGAAGCCCCAGCCCTAGTCACCTTAGACATCCTTGAACAAAACGAGATCACTGGGGCACCCTTAGCTGAAGAAGCTGGAAAAGCAAGAACCTGTCTTTTGGCTTCCACAGTGGGAGGAGTCGAGGACTGCAGATGACTGTTGAGTCAAGAAAGAATCCACCACACCCTCCAGGTCTAAGCACCCTCTACTGCTGCCTGCCATCACACTTATCACACCGTCTTTAAAAATCTGTCTACAATCCTAATGACCAGAGCTTATAGCCCCAACTATAAAAAAAACAATTAAACATGGCCCATGTGACTCAGTGGTTAGAGCATCGACCTGAGCACCAAAGGGTCTCAGGTTTGATTCCAGTCAAGGGCACATACCTAGGTAGCAGGTTGGATCCTCTGAGGGTTGGGGTGCCTGCAGGAGGCAACCAATCAATGTGTCTCTCTCACATCTATGTTTCTTTCTCTCTCTCTCTCTCTGTCTCTCCCCTTCCCTCCCTTCCAATCTCTAAAAACCAATGGAAGAAATTTCCTTGGGTGAGGATTAACCAAAAAAGAAAACAACCCCCCCCCCCCACACACACACACAGACATATACACACAAATAAGCAGTAACAGACCTATTGTATTTAAGAAAAACATATTTATTGAAATATAATTTACATATAAATTCACCCATTTGAATGTTGAGTTTTGACAAATGTAATTTTCACAACAATTAAGTCATAAAGCATTTCTATCACCCTCAAAATGTGCATCTTTGCAGTCAATCCACTCATTCCACCCCAAGCCCTGGAACCTCTGATCTTTCAATCACTACAGTTCTGCCATTTCTAGGATGCCGTATAAATGGAGTGATACTACATGTAGCCTTTTTTGGTCCAGTTTCTTCCATTTAGCATAATGCTTTTGAGAGTCACTCTGTTGTTGCTTGCATCAGTTGTTCATTCTTTTTTAAATGACAGTTGTATTATTAAACCACAATTTGTATATCCATTCACCAGTCAATGGGCGTCTGGTTGTTTCCAGTTTGGGATCATAATGAATACAGGTGCTATGAACATCCATATCCTCTTCTTTATGGGGACATGTTTTAATTCCTCCTGGGAAATACCTGGGAGTGGAATTGCTGAGGCAAGCAATCTATATATATAAAAGCCTAATATGCAAAGTGTCCCCTCGGGAGTTCAACCAACTAGGAGTTTGATCACTTTCTATGATGTGTGCTAACCACCAGGTGGCAGCACGGAACAAAGGAAGGCCCCTGCCGGCAGCCAGCAGCCGGGGAAGGGGAGGCCCCGGCCGGTGTCCGGCAGGCACTAGGGACCCTACCCATGCACGAATTTCGTGCACTGGGCCTCTAGTGACTATATATTAACTGCTTTATAAGAATGTTTTTCTGAAGTGACTGTAGCATTTTGCATTTCTACCAGCAATGAATCCGTTTCAGACGCTCCACTTGGTTTTGTCACTTGGGGTTGTCAGGTGTTTCATCTCAGTGGTTCTAGTGGACGTATAGTGAATGTTTTCATTGTGACTTTAGTTTGCATTTTCCAAATGCCTCATGATGTTGAGGATCTTTAATGTGCTTACTTACCTTTGGATATCTTTTTTGGCAAAATGTCTGTTCAAATCTTTTACCCATTTTTAATTAGTTAAATGTGTATTTTGTTAAAAGATTTTAAGATATATATTCAAAACAAATCCTTTATCAGATACTGTTTTGCCATTCTGTGACTGGTGTTTTCCTTTTCTTAAACAATGTCTTTTTGGGAGAAAAGTTTCTAATTTTAATAAAGCCTCAGTTACAATTTTTTCTTTATGGTTCATGCTTTTAGTGTCTTGTCTAGGAAATCTTAAACCAAGGTCACAAAGGAGTCCTTATCCAGATTTTATAATTTTAGCTCTCACAATTAAGTATATTTTAATTTAATGATTATATACTAAAGGGTGTCCCAAAATTCACGCAAGAAGTAATTTTGGTAGAAAACACAGGTTTATAATTAAAAATTGTAAATTTTTTATTGATTCATAAAGTATACAGTATAGGGTTATGTATGGAATAGCATATAGGGTAAATGGCCTCCACGGCTTTGCTGGCACATACGTACTCTTTTGTTGAAATTTTCCATGACTGTTTTGCATAAATGTGGCTGAATTTCATTGATCACCAAAACGGGAAATTACACGACCAGGAAATGACTCATGCAGTAATTGAATTGTTTCTTGGGCTGAAATTGTCACATTTGGGGTTCAGAAAATCCACGAGTGATTGTTGAGAAACAAATGCATCCACAACGTGCCACTGTTTGGTGTGGATTTTGGGCTGGAGGCATCATCGGACCATTCGTCTTCAAAAATGAGGCTGCTCAGGCAGTAACAGTTAATGGTGCTCGTTATCTCGACATGATTATCCAGTTTTCTGTGCCTAAATTGCAAGATACGGATGTGGACGACATGTGGTTTCAACAAGACGGTGCCACATGCCATACAGCCCAAGAAACAATTCAATTACTGCATGAGTCATTTCCTGGCCGTGTAATTTCCCATTTTGGTGATCAGAATTGGCCGCCCAGATCATGCGATTTAACACCGTTGGACTTTTTTCTTTGGGGTTTTTTGAAGTCTAAGGTTTATGCCAACAAGCCCACAACCACCCACGCCTTGAAGGAGGAAATTGAGCACTGTATCAACAAAATTCAGCCACATTTATGCAGAACAGTCATGGGAAATTTCAACAAAAGAGTGCATATGTGCCAGCAAAGCTGTGGAGGCCATTTACCCGATATGCTATTCTATACATAACCCTATACTGTATCCTTTATGAATCAATAAAAAATTTACAATTTTTAATTATAAACCTGTGTTTTCTACCAAAATTACTTCTTGCGTGAATTTTGGGACACCCTTTAGTATAGTGGGAGGGAAGGTTTGAAATTCATTTCCTTGCATATGGATATGCACTAATTTTTAGGAAGACTATCGTTTCCCTATTATGCTACCTTGGAGCCCTAGCTGAAAATGGCATATATGTGAGTCTATTTCTGGATTCTTTATCCTGTTCCATTGATCATTTTGTCTTGTCTTTATGGCAATACCATTTTTGTTATTATGGATTTAGCTTAAGTTGACCAAACTTGGTTTTTTTTTTTCTTTTTGTTGATCCTCACTTGAGGATATATTTTTTTTCCCATTGATTTTTAGGGAGAATGGAAGAGAGAGGGAAAGACAGAGAGAAACATCAATGTAAGAGAAACTCATCGATTGGTTGCCTCCTGCACGTGCCCGGACCAGGGCCTGGGCCAGGGAGGAGCCTGCAACTAGGGTACATGCCCTTGACTGGAATCAAACCCAGGACCCTTCGGTCCGCAGGCTGACACTCTATCCACTGAGCCAAACCAGCTAGGGCTTGTTTTTTGTGTTGTTGTTTTTTTCTTTTCAAAACTGTTTTGGCTATTCTAATTCCTTTGCATTCCCATAAAAATTGTACCAGCAGATTGTCAAGTTCTAAAAGAGAAAAAAAAGCCTGATGAAATTTGATTGGATTGCATTGATTCTATATATCAATTTAGGAGAGAGATGCCATCTTAATAGAGCATATTAATCCATGAATATGGTACATCTCCCTGTATATTTAGGCCCTTGGTTTCTCAGTAATGTTTTGTAAATTTTAATGTATAGGTTTCATATCTTTTATAAAAATTATGCCAAACTCCCTGGCCAATGTGGCTCAGCTGGTTAGAGCATTGTCCCAGCAGCAAAGAGTTACTGGTTTGATTCCCAATCAGAGCACATGCCTAGGTTACAGGTTCGATCCCCCATCAGAGTGTGTGTACAGGAGGCAGCCAAATGATTTTTCTCTCATAAATCGATGTGTGTGGCTTCTCCTCCCCCCTTCCCCCCCCAATCAGTAGAGCATATCTATCCTTGGGTGAGGATTGGCGAAAAAATTATGCCAAACTATTTTTTTATGCTATTGTTTTTACATTTCATTTTAAACTGTTCATTGCTGGTTATAAAGAAAATTTCAGACACTTAATTTCCTGATCTAGTTGACTTTTATTTGACAATTCATAAATTGGAAAGCATTAAGTCTAGAAGACAGGAAAGAGTTTCCAAGGGTTGTACAAAGTGAGAGAGTTTCATAGACCAAAGTGAGCAGGAACAAGAAAGTTACACTGGGCACTGTTAATTGTTACACAGAGTGCTTTCCTTATACGGAGCAAAGGGAAGCTTGGAGCAGGGTTAGGTAACTGGTGCTAAGCAGGCACGTGCTCATTGGTTGGCACAGAGTTGTTTTCTGGGAGAGCTGAGTACAGGAATTTAGTTAAGCTTTCGTTTGCTGACATGGGGTTTAGCATAAGCAACTCCATCTTGGGCCTAGTCAGGACACTTTGACACTAGTACATAGAAATATTATTGGTATTTTGTATATTGACCTTTATCATAATTACCTTGTTAAACTCACTGGTTCTAACTTTTTAATTAAAAATGTGTTTTTTATTGATTTTAGATTTTAGAGACAGGAAGGGAGAGGGAGAGAAAGCATCAATGTGAGAGAGAAACATCGATACATGCCTCCACTGGGGATTGAACCAGCAACTTTTTAGTGCACAGGGCGATGCTCAAAAAACTGAGCCACTCAGGCAGGGCTGGTTCTAGACTTTAAAAAAATATAGATTCTAGAATTTTCTACATAGGAGACATCATCTGCAAATGATTATAACTATACTCCCTTTACAAACTGTCTTTTTATTCCCTTTATTATTATTATAATAATACTAGGGGCCCAGTGCACGAAATTCGTGCACTGGGGGTGGGGGGTGTCCCTCAGCCCAGCCTGCCCCCTCTCACATACTGGG